GATGGTTTGGGCATATCTGCAGACTGGCAAGGAGTACACTACAAGAAATCATAGAAGAAAAGAGAGGAACCAAAGATTGGGTGGCTAAAATCCATGCATGGACAAGAATGAGTAGGAAAGGAGGAGAGGCAGCAATGGATAGTAGTATTGATAGACATTGGGTCACACTGGTAACAGAGAATACGATCTCCTACAACCTGCTTCGTCAAATTTGAATTCTTACATATGTGAAACATCATTCCTAGGACATAGATGTATAATAGTTAACTTACTCACATTGTGAATGCACATTTTCTCACATTGTCGGATTTATTCTAATTTAAATTTTGCACCAAAAGATTTTTAAGTGTCTGTGAAATGCCTACTATCAACTTTTGGTTTTTAAGCCCTGGCTTGCCCATAATGATGATTTATACAACGTTTACTTTTATACAATGTAGCTTGCATGCGTACCGAGAAAACACGGCCCCGCATGCAGTGGATATTAAACCAGTCTTGTTCTATATAGGTTTTAAAATACATTTAAAATACATTGTTAAATACATAAAATATGAACAGGAAAGGCTATGTGGAAATTTAATAAACATTTATGAAAGGTCATTATCTAAAATGTGACAAGATTTCAAAATGAAGATGCAACCTACAAGTTCATGGCATCTGCTTTTTATATATTTATCAAAACATACCTATTTGGTAGACATTTCAACTTATTCCTTAACTCTGGAGTTAAAAGCTTTTTACATATACCACATCTGTTAAGATAAAAAACATTGTCAGTTATATTGTCAGTTATAGGGGGATGTCTAAGGCAAAGCAATATGCTACTGAATGAAATTAAGTTTTATGAACACTGTAACAAGAATGTGATTACAAAATGGTTTGACAATGTAATGTAAGAGCTAACGAAACAAACAGTGCATTTCAAAACAAAGACAACATTTAATGTTGGGCTGTTACATGGCTGTGAGGCCACTTCTCTAACAAATGGCAATATAGCACCTGGGAGCATTCCTCCAAAGTTGTATCTGTAACTGAAGGAATGATCTCCACCACAGGCCTTAGCCTGACACTAAGTCAGATTCTCACAGAAACAGCAATGCATGATGGGATTGCTGTAGAGAAAACAATAATAAATTAGTCATTACATAAATTAGCAGGTTTCAGTTAAAACAACATGTGAATGCTACAACTTTCTATTTTTTTTTCCATAAATTACTCAGAATTTCAACACACCTGTACAAATTAGCTGCCGATGCTGGAGAGTCCTGAGAACCCTGCGGATCAAACAAGTTTTCAATCTTCTTACAGAAGAGCTTACTGAAAAAGAAAATACTGAACTAGTTACAATGTATGCTCATTCCCTGGCCTGCCAATGACACAACTAGTTTTTCCCATTCCCTGAAAGGCAGAAGCAGCTTCAGGATTACAACAAATGGAATGCAACAGAAGCCCAACATTACATTTGCCGAACTATTTTATTTGACATGTCAGAATACATACTTTTATAAGGGTGTGATGAGCCACCTGACTGTAGTGATATGTGTATGTAAAAAGTACCGGTAGTGTAGTTAACATATACCTGGTAGCTCGAAATTCAGAATAAATATTGAGTCAATCATGATGTTTTGAGCTTTCCTGAGTCAACACATCAAAAAGCGAGAAACTCACCTTTTAAACTTGTCCTTTCTATCTTTGATCTCATCTGCCTCATTATGGTTGAAAAGAGCAGCAATTCTGCAGCAAAATAATAAATATTTCTACTGCATCAACTGAACTAAACTTACTGACAATATAACGATACTAAATCCCTTCCTCTTCCATGTATTATCTGAATCAACACATCATGCTGTCAACCCCAGGTCACCAAACATGGTGTAGCACACAAATTGTATGTAAACAAATAATACAACTTTTATGCATGGAACTCATTTCAAACATGATGGAGGTGACCACGTCATGTTAATATGCCATACTCGAATGTGATTTTGAGAGAACTTAGGTTAAGGTCTGCAGGTGCTTGTGTTCAACAGGGTCACCAGATTGGTAGATGCCAAGATAGCACATTAAATTGCTATTGCATAGAGAGATGGCCATACAGCCCTGTAATCCCAAACATCAATATGGCTTCTTTGATAAAAATGCACTCTCTGTCAGTTCTCACACTTCAATTTGATAGACAACATTGGCATTCAAAAGCCGGAACTGTCTCATGGCACAAAAACATTTTTTTTTTTAAAGTTGCTGTTTGAGCAGTTCCATGAATTCAACTTTTTGGATATGCAGAATCCATTACATTTAAGTAATGCTTCTTTCATCTTTATT